TCTGGCACAGGCACCACCACACACTGCAGGAACCCCAGACCATTTACTGAACTTGCAACAGCAATTAGTTCTGGTTTCACCAGCCACTTTCACCTCTGCTGCTTCCAGCCTCCACTCTTCAGCCCAGGTGACTAAGTGGAGCCCTGCACACTTTACCTGTCAGCCTCTGGAACTGTGAGGAATAAGTGGGTGTTCTTGCAAAGGTTGTAGCACAGTCACAGTTGGAAGCAAAAAGAAAATGCCCAAGGGTGGCAAAAGGTCAGTGCCAAAGAAGGGGCAAAAAGCCAGACAGGGGATGTGGCAAAAAGGTGACAGTTCTTGTATTCCCTCAGATGGTTCAAGATTTAAGAATAATTAACAAAATAGTCAAGCCTAGACACCCTACAGCTCCTGATCCTCCTACTTTTCTGAATCAAATTCCCTCTTCTCACTGTTCTTATTCTGTACTGCACTGAAAGGATGCATTTTGGAGTTGTCCAATTACTGAGGGTAGAAAACCACCCTCTGCCTTTGAGTGGGAACAAGAAGGGGGGAAAGTAATTAAGCAACAACTTCCTTGGACTGTTGCCACAAGGATACACTGAATCCCTTGTTTGGTTTGGACAAACCTCACAAAAACTTTTAAATGAGCTCTCATTACCTCCACAAGGTTCTTTCAGGATGTGGATGATTAACTTATCTCAGGGAAGGACAGAGAACCAGTAGAAGACTCCACTGAGAACCTGCTTAATTTTTTAGCCAAAAAAGGACTGAGAGTCTCTGAAAACAAAACTCAAATGGTAGAGACTGAAGTTAAGTATTTAGGACATATTTTAAAGCATGGGTCATGATGTATAGATCCAGAAAGGGTTAAGGGAATCTTGGAAATCCCTCTACCAAAAATGAAGGAAGAATTCCATCAATTTTTAGGGCTAGTAGGATTTTGTAGGGCTCAGATAGAAGATTTTCCAACAATTTCCAGACCACTGCATGATTTGTTGACTCAGGGAAATCCAGAAGTAATTATTTGGATACCTGAAGGGAAAAGGAGTTTTCAGAAACTAAAAGAGTAAATTAATTCAAAACAAACAAACAAACAAATTGCCCTGGACTTGGCTTTTACTCACAGCTTTAGCAAGGATAAGAGCCAAACCCCAGGAGTCTTCACTTATCTCCATATGAGATAATGTTTGGAATCCCTTGTCTGGTTAGTTTGCAAAAGGACACACCACACAGAGGTAAAAATCTCCAAAGCACCAGAAGTCTGAGACTTCTCTTAGAGAGAAGTCTTTCTCTCCAGCTAGAGGAGAAAGAAGGAAAACCTGAACTTATGCTACGTAGAAATCGTGCCCCAAACGTCTGCTCAGATGATCCTCCCAATTTCCAGTGACCAACAGTGAAAAGGAGATGAAACTTTTGCTCCTGTCTCTTTGTTGTCACCCGTGTAGCAGTCAGGAAGAAGGCAATATATTTTTGGCATTTAACCTGACCAGCTGTGGGGTCTGGGGAGGGCCAAGAGGCTCCGAAAGCTGAGCCAGCACAGCCAGAACGGTGGCTCAGTAACCCTGGGGAGGTTCATCATGGCACAGGATATTGGGAAGAAGAAAACAGCCCTTGGAGTTATATCTCTCCCTTTTATTCCAATAAAAGCTTCATTTTTTTTTTTTTAGTTAGCTCCTCTGTCTCCTGGTTTTTTATGCAGCTCTCAGTCCCTGGATTTTCAGAATTTGCTCCCATCTCCATCTTGCTGTTTCAGACAGAATAATTGCCAAAGAGCCCAGTTGGCACACAGCATTTTTCTGAACTTGCTTCTTTAGAACAACCATGAACAGGGTGGGGGTTAGGCCTGCAGGAAGGCAAACTGCCAGATTCCTTCCAGGTACTTCTTCAATTTGCCAATACCCAAATCCCTCTTTAGCTCTCTAATACGATAATAATATAATATATTATAAGAGGTAATTAAGATTTTTAAAACAGAGATCAGAAAAGAGATAAGAAAACAGATGGAAAAATATTTAAAAAGTACAAATTCAGCCTGTGTAGCTAAAGCAATTAACCTCCAACCCCATCCATCCTCCCCCTCGTGGAATTCAATTAAGCTCTGATTAAATCCTTTATCAAGCACTCAATCTGATCCCAACACTGGTGCCACAGAATATTTTCTTACACAGAAGTAGAAGATTTTCATGTCAACCAACCCCTGGCAGGTTCAGTGACTGCCATCAGAATTTGCAGAACTGCAGCCTTAGTTTGCTGAGCTGCAGCTTGCAAAGATGCCAAATATGGATTAAAAAATGAGAGCAACATGTCCCTAAAGAGACATTTTGCATCCAAGCAGGAACAAAGATGGCATGACTGAGGATGGCACCACATCCAAACTTTCTGGACATACACTGTAAATGGGAATTTTGGAAAGGTACTTCACAGAAGAGCCCGACCAGGACTGGAAAAAGACCTCCTGAGTCATCCCCTCCCAACTGCTGTCCCACAAATTCATATATATGAACTCTACCTTAAAAATGACTATGTTTCCTGGCACTTATTCCCCCTTTGGATAACTGCTCATTGTCCAGCTGATTAGAAAAATGCTTTCAATTTACAAAAGGACTTTATTCATGGGACAGTTTATCCCCCTTGTTTTTTCTGGCAGAGCTTTGGTGGTTTGTGTTTGCCAGGGGTTGTATTTAGAGTGAAGAAGGGTATCACTTCCTAACCTAAGTAAGCCAAGGTTTTTGTTTCCCTTGTCCTGTGATAGCCATTCATGTGCTTATTATCTTCTTGAAAGCTGCTCTAGTTAGAATTCATCTCAGAATTCATTCCAAGACAATGTCTACAAAAGAATGGACTGTATACAAGAAGTGAACACCCCGTCCTATCAGACCAGAGACTCAGAAAGAAGCACAGCAAGAGAATGGATTATTTTTCCTTCTGGAAACCACTCAAACGAGCTCCAGACCCTGAGAGAATTGCATGCAAGTTGTAATCAAACCATGACATCCAGGTGAGGCAACACACGAGTTTTTCAGAAACATGACAAGTTATCACAGGATAATTCTGAAGAGCCAGGAGGAAGGGAGGGTACAAGGATTTAAAAAAAAATTAATCCTGCACTTCTTATTAAAAAAATTAATATGAATAATAAACCAAAAATCTATTTCATTTCATTGCACCCAATCTGGATGCACTGAACATACAGAACACAAATAATTCCTACTTTAACGTAATTTTCCTGAACAATTGCAAAAAAGGTGTACCACCTTCAGGTAAAAATTCAGTCATAAATCATAACTGATTGTAACTTCCAGCTACCCAAGAAGGGATCAATCTCTGCAAAAGACAGAAGACAGACTCGTTTGCAATGTTACACAACACGTAATTAAAACTATCTATGGCTTCCATTCTTGCTACACTTCAAGCTGGCAGAACTTTAATACACAATAAAAGCTCTACAGTCCCAGTGGGGCTCACGGAACACAACAAGTGAAAATCAGCACAGTATCACAACCTGCCCTCTCAGAAATCTCATTTCTTGACTACAGTTCCCATCCTACTGCAAGCATTTAAAAATACCTCAAGGTTTTAAAAATAAGCTTTAAAACTAAAAATCAGCACGATATCACAACCTGCCCTCTCAGAAATCTCAGGTTTTTTAACTGCAGCCTCCATCCTACCTTAATGGTTTAAAAATAAGCTTAAAGCTGAACTTCCTTTGGCACAGCAGAGCAGAGGCAGTGCCAAATAGGGAGCTGTACATTTTCCTCAATTCTTTCCTAAACATTGCAAGCAATTATTCCAGAGTTATCCCAACCTGGCAGTTCTTCGGGTGCTGTTTCTGCTCACAGCAAACTGACATCCCAACACTGAGTTACATCCAGAAAAAGTGGGATGAAGGACAAGGTTCCTGAAAAAGTTTCTCTAGAGAAGAAACCACCCCAGCTGCTTTGTTTGTCACAGTGGATCAGACATTAAATTGTACTTGAACAATCAGAAAATCTTTCCTGGTGGATGGAGGAAACACAAAAGCCATTTGCCAACTGGAAGACTGGAATCACGTCGCAGGGAGCAAATCCACCTTGATTTTAACCTACGGATTCAGCTCCAGGGCACAGGGACACCTCCATTTTGTCTCCACCTGCAACTGCACAGTTTAATTGCTCGGCCCTTCCAGCTCCCTGTTCTGTGATTGTGGGCATTAAGGGGCACAGTTTGGTAAACACAGTGCTCAGGGTATTCTTCAAGCAGGGAGGGTGAAGCAAAAAAATTCTGCTTTCCCCGAGAATCATTTTCATCCAGGAGAATCCTCTGGCACAAGTCACGACCGGCATCATGCTCCCTATAAAACACAGGCTGGCACAGCACGGGGAGCAAAACGATTTTCCCCATCGACCCAGCCCAAAGTGAAGTTGCTGTACTGTGGATTTGTGCCTCCAGCCCTCCCTCTCTGCCCTTCCCCAGCTCAGCTGAGTGTCCCAGGCTGGTTTCTGCACTGGAGGGGTTGCACTTGCCTGGTGGGCGCCGGGAGGTCCCCGTGCTGGGCTCCTTGTCCTGTCTGGCTGCTCGGTTTCCCATGGTCAGGGGCTCGGCCACCCACTGCCTCGCTACCAGCCAAGGAAGCAGAGAGGAACACAAAACAAGTGACAGGAAACACGGGGGAAAAGAAATGGAGGAAAGGAGCAGAGAAAGGCCCGGCCAAGGGAGGAAAGTGTCGGTGCAGGGGAAATACCTGCTCGTTTCCCAAAGGCACCAACAGAAACGGATCTTACACTTTGGGGTGTTCTGGTGGCACATCGGAGAACTTTTCAGATCTTTGGATACCCCAGGAGCAATGCTTTGAATTTAGGAAAACACCACCATCACCACCATCTAACCCCAGAAATTTTGGTGAATTAAGTTGTGATCTTTGCTGGTTCCCATTGTGTGGAAGCAGGTCTCAGACCAAAACAAAACAAAGCAAAAACAAAACAAAACCACCAAAGAAAAACCCCAAAGCAAACTGACAAAACCCCAAACAAACGAAATCAACGAAAAAAAACCCCAAACAAAAAACAACCTAGGCAGTGCAGCGATAACACAAATTGCCGGGTTTGGTTGTGATGCAAGATCCCTTGGGGTAGTTTCCATCTTGTAGGTTCAGATGGAAGCTCCACCAATGGTCCTGGCTCCAAACCACCCCCTCGCAGCCCACCTAGAGCTGCCTCCCGTGCGCAGGGAATCTGCTGGGCACCGCTCTGCCAGCTCTAAACCATCCGTGTCTGCTGTAATCCTCGCCCCTCCGTTTCTCTATTCAATAAATCACAGAGAATTTCTAGCATCTAACAGAGCCCTTCGGGTCGCTCAGCTCCGAATTTCTGATCGATGGAGGTGAGATCGCCCTACCGACCCGTGCCAGCAGCAGCAGCAGCAGCAGCAGCAGCAGCAACCCTCCTCCCAAGGCGACAGGACAGAAGGGTTCGGTTGTTTATTGCGTTTTTACCTGGAATGAATTGCATCAAACAGCAGAGGAAATACTGCAAATGCGCAAGCAGGAGGCTGACGGCGGGCAAAAGGATTTGGGCTAACATATTCCGCCGGGCAGAAGGCATCGGCTGGGAGGTGGCGGAGCGGAGGTAGCGGTGCCAGGGCGGTGAGCGGGAGCAGTGATGTGTCGGGAGATGAGCGAGCTGCCTGACATCATCCTTTCACAATAAGAGCCGGGCGCTGTGTCCCGGCAGGGCTGCCAAGGATTCCTTGATCCATCCAGCTGCCCACGCTCCGCTCCGCGGCTGCGGCCGGGCCGGGACCTGCCGCCGGTCCTGGATGCCGCCCCGGCCCCCCGATGGCGGCCGCACCTGGGCCAGGTGAGCTCGGAACTGGCGGGGCGGTGCCGCCGCTGGGAAAACGCTCTAGCGCTACGTGCCTGTTGTACCTGGGGAGCGGGAAAGAAAGGGGAGATGTAGCAACGGATCCGGGCAGCCGGGATTTTAAGGCGGTTCTCTCGAGGTCTCCCGTCGCCTTGTCTTCTCGTTCGCACATTAAAAAAAAAACCCGTCTTGTTTTGCTGCGAGACCTGAGTAAGCATTTTGCAGCTCAGTGAATCTCGAGGCTTTAGGAATGTTGGCTGCCACGCCAGATTAGCCCGTCGAATCCGACAGGGAAGGACCAGGCTGTGCCCTGCTGTTCCGAGCTAAGCCGGACCTAGGACAGAGCCTTCCTCCGGGATGCGGGGAGGAAGCTGCCAGCGCTCTGCAAATGCGCCGAGATGAAACCTTTGTTTCGTGGTATTAAGCAGCTCTTTGAAGCTGCCCTGTGCCCTGAGAGGGAGCGGGGCGGCACGCACAGCTCTCCAAGGACCCCACTGCACAGACAGATTAATACTCATCCTAAATCTTCTGCTGCAAATTAAGCTCGTTTCTTCCTGTCCTTTCTGCACGATCCAGGGAACACCTGGCAGCCCCAGGTGCTTTTTGCACCCCATCTCTGACCGTGCCCTCCCCTGAGCTGTGCTTTCCTAAACAAACCCAACTGCCCTAACAAACCCAGCTGCGTCAGCCTTTCCTCACCGATCACTTTTCCTTAACTTTTCATTTCTTTTGGTTCCCACTTTCTTTTAAGTAAGACCAAACTACCACAGAGAGAAGGACAACTATGTTTCCTTGTCTTACTTGCTGTGCTGTACCAAACACATTTCAGCTGGTATTTCACCACCCAACACCACCAAACAAACCCTAGCTGTTGTTCTGGTTTGTAAGAAACACTTATGACACCCCTTGTCCGTTTTAAATTTTATTTAGATTTCAGCTCGACCCTTTGTCTAATTGAGATTACAGTGAATTTTCAATGACTTCTAGTTTGCTGCTGTTTGAAAAATTAACTGTATTCTCTAATGACCTTCTTCTAAACCATTCAGGTTAATGTGGAATAAGCAAGGCTGGAAGCAGATCTCTGTAGGATAAGCTGACCTATCAGGAAAAAAAAATGAGTATTCATTGACTTAAGTAGTCCCTACTTCCTGACTGCTCTTATTTTATATAATATCATACAGGATGGTGCCAATTGCTTTACACCGAGCTATGCCCATCTGTTATTTTTCCACAGCAAGTCAGCTTTCTGATCAAGGATTTTTTTTTTTTTAATTTATTGTTCCCCCAGTCATAGTTAAGAAGCTTCCTTCAGACCCCCTCCAGGCTGGGAGCTGCACTGACTGTTTTTTTCTGGCTGTTCCCCCCCCCCCCCGATGATGCCAAGCCCCCTCCCACTCTGCTCTCTTCCAGTGCCACCCCAGTCATCAGGAATTCAGCCAATTCAGAGAGGAAGCACAAAGATCCTGTGATTAGCAAAGCTGCATTCTGATTAGTTCTACACAGCCTTAAACACATCTATGACCTGCTCTTTTTCTATTCTGACCCCCCCATTCCCACCTCTGTGCTAAAAGGCAGTTCCATTTTCAGTAAACAGTCACAACCAGCCTTTTTCTCAGGGAAGAATTCTCGTCGCTGACTATCTGAACTCTCTCTGCATCATCTGTTATTTCCCATTTTCAGCTTTTAAATAGAAGAGCAATCAGAAGAACCAAGTTTTTTAATCACTTACATTTTCCAGCCTGTGGAGGTATTCACGGCAAGCTCAGAACTGCAAAAGACTCAGTGCCAAAATCCCCCTGACTTCAAGAGGGTCGGAACTTTGTCTAGGCTGTTTCCAGGTTTAAAAACAAAAATCCATTTATATTGGGTTACTGATCTGTAATCTTAGACGTTCGTGTTAATTTACAGGCACTGGGGCTTAAACAAGGAGGGGAGAAGCTTAAAGAAAACGTAGTTACCAGCTGAGCTTCACTGATCAGATTTTGCAGCTTTAAAGCCAATTAATTTTCTGTCCAAACCTCCTTCAGTAAAACGGGAAAGCGGATAGTGGTGGGATGGGTGCCAGTGGGGCTTCACGTGGAGCTCCCTCCTCGGGGACAGGATGGAGGAGCTTTTAGTGGCACAGCAGAAAAGAGAGAGACAACTTGCTTTGTTTCTCCCAACAAACACCAAAATATGTGAGAGGAGGCAGAAGCATCATTCGTGGGGTAGGTGAATTGTAGACAAGTAGGAAAACAGTCAAAAGCTATTTTCTAATGGCTTAGAAGCAAAAGAGTGTGTAATGAGTACTCCCAAATATTCAGATATTGAGTGGAACACTGAAGGGCAGCCAACAGAAAAACACTCTCTATTTTTGGCCAGCACAATAATTAAGGAAAGCTCCCTTTAATCAGGAAGGGATTAATGTATGATTGATTAATTGCCATTGCTGACATGTTAATTAACTTCAGAAGAGGAGAGGCTGGTTTATTTTCAATGGATGTTTTAAGTTTTGTACACTTGCCATTTCAAGCCAAAACGTTCTAAAACTCCCTATTTAATTAATTTTACTCGGTTTACTTATACATATGTCCTCACATATATTCATGCAGCAAAATCAGAGGGTTTGTTGCTGTTGGCAATTTAAAAACTTTTAATAAGCACAACCACATTGTTCATATGCTCACCTAGGTTACTGTGGCCATACTTCCTGAATTTACTTTCAATACCTCTTCAAATTCCCCTTATTACTTCTTATATTCCATGCTATTAAATTATAACATTAAATGACAACCAATTGTTTAGGAAATCACTGTAGAAAAACAAGTCATCATCCAGAGAGTTATGTCTTGGATTTAACTGCATTTCCATGCCAGACTAAGCAGTTCTTAATTGTCCTAAAAAGTGGAGCTTTACTAATTTTTATTGGATTTTATGAAGTTTTTTTAAATAGAGCAAATTGCTGCAACAGTAACACTTGATCCCCTGAGGGAGGAAACTCATAGAACTGTTGGATCACGTAATCTAAGTTCTGTTTCTTAGTAATACTTGGACATATTGGCCACAGAAACTAAATCCAGATCATCTAAAAAGGCTGCATAATTTTCCCAAGCACAAGCAGAGACAAATGCAAGTAACAGGCAGATATTTGTCAGTAATGAAACTCGTGCAATTTTTCTTTAAAGGCTTGGATAAGTGACTGTGGGTAAATGTCTAAATTCAGAGACTTTAGAGATGTCAATTTAAAACTCTGGGGTTTGTCATCACTGTAGATGAGCGTAGATTTTAGAAGCCCTTAGGACAACATATTATAAAGTTTCACTTCCTGAATCTTCTTCTCTTTTTCCTCCCACATTTTTCTGTTTAAGCAGCACTACCAAGAGTGACTACAAGGTGAGATTACTAGGAAAAAAAGAAAAAAAAAAAATAGGAGACTGGTAAATATGATGCAGACCATTGGCAAGACTTTTGAAGGTCTTTACATGCTAAAGATGCAGATAGGCACCTTACGGGATTTTCCAAAATTCCTAAGCGTGTAAGACGCTTACACCACGATTAGGCACTTGGAAAATCCTGCTAAGGACATATCTTGGATCTTTAGGTACCTAAATCTCACCCTCCAGGTCCAGTTCCTCTCATGGTTTGTTCTAAATCGTGTCACTTTGGACACGTGGCACGTGTGCTTGTGACTTTTAGTTAATAAAAGGAGGGAGAAGGAGGATGGATTCAGTCTGAAATGATTTTAAGAGAAAATTAATACACAGTCCTGGTGGGGTAACAATGTAAATATATCTTATTCTAGCACCAGGGCTTTCTGGCACTTTGCTTTATTAAATAAGCCTCACAATTTGTACATGATCCTCAATACATTCTGTGTTTCATCTTTTTTAACAGAGTTTAGTGACAAGAGAGAAAAAGGGCTCGAAAAAAACTCCTTGAGCATCCTTAAATAAAGTGAATATACAGCAAACAATACTCATGTAGCCAAAATAAAAGAGCATTTTAGACCACGTTATTATTGTCTAGTTATTTATTGACATCACAGCAAAGTTTTGTGTGCTTTAATGTTTATATCAAAATGGCCATGAAAAGCTGTACAAGTGTTAAATGCATTTTCAAATTAAGACTTTATACATTTCCCAAAGTATTTTTCTTAATAGAACTCTCCTATTTCTAAGCTGATCTCTTCAACCTGTTTGTATTCTGAGACAAAACTGAAATAACATTGCAAGTACATTCTACAAAGACTTAAGCACCAAAACATTTTCTAAAGTAGAAAGAAAAAACCCCGAAAACTAAAACAAACCCAGAAAATGATTAGAATTAAATAATCTGAGGTCCTTTTCCACTTACAAAATTTTGTGTTTCATAGGGAAATTTCCGTACTATGTTCAATGGGTTAACAAGTAAAATCCTTATGTTTTAGTGTTTGAAAACCTTGGAGTCACAGGATTTAAAAGAGATATTAAGAACTGGTTTTACTAACTATGTATAAGTCGCTGCTTAAGTTGTTGAAGGTTTCCTGGAGTGCCGTAAATATTTACCTAAGAACCAGACACCATAACACTCCTCACGGTTTGTTTGAATACACAAAATAGACTGAGTTTGGCTCTGCACTTCTGCAGTTGAGTGAACTCCATTTATCCCTGCAGGGTGTTTGCCATGACAGTGAATCTCTGTTTCAGACTCTCCCTTTTCTGCTTTAAGTCCTCGTCTATGTCCCTCGCTTCTTTTAAGATTCCTTCCAGTTCTTGGACACAAGAAGCCTCCATCGCTGCTGTCTCACTTAAGTGAAAAAATCTGTTGTTAAAATCAACACCAATGCCATTAACCTTCTCACTACTTAAAGCTGCTTTTATGCTTTTCTTAAAAACATCTTGTCCATTAGTAGTTCCATCTTACCTAGAGAATTTAGAAAGAAGCTGTACAAATAGCACAAAGTTAACTTGCCTTATAATGTTAGCATATTTTGATAACAAGGTCATAATTTCTTTGTTCATATCTGCGAAAAGAAAAAAAAAAGCAATTTTATTTAAATATCTGAGCGGATCTCAACATAAATTAGGTAATTACACACTCACTTTCAGTATATTTAATACATCACCATTTAAAACCTTTTCCAGTGGTTCAGTGTCGTAAAGGGACTGCGAGTCCTCAGAAAGAGCCAGATCTGTTTTGTCAGGGAAGGACAGCTGAGGATTTTCTGGCGCTTCATTCTAATAACAGAGCACATTAAAAAAATACAGCTTCTGGGACTTAAAACGAGCTTTAGCACGGAGTTTAACTGAGGGAAAGAAGAGGTTTAAAAAGACCTCGAGAGAAGTGTATTTAGAGAAAAAGCAAGCGGTGTTGGCTTCGGGGCATCACGAACGGGCACAGCATCTCGGGCAGTGGGTGGGAAGTACCAGCTTGAGATCTCTGTAAATATATACATACTTTTTTATACATACACTAATATACATACTGTATATATACATGTGTGTGTATATGTATATCTATGTATTTATAGATATATATCAGTAAAAGCCAGCGTATGTCAGCAGCTCGCCCTCAGAACGTTCCACGTAACTGGGTCTCAGTGCACGCCCAATTCTGTTGGTCTTCAAACACTAAGGGAAGCTGCGGTTTCCTTACACAAGAAAGTCATACCTGGTTCCCCAAACCTCCCTGAAGTTACGTGGAGCTCTGGGCCCTCCCTCCGGGCCAGGAATCCAGAGCAGGACATGGAATGAGGGTCCCCGTCCTCCCTCCCTGCCTGCCTGCCTCAGCACCGCTCACCTCCATCCTCTGACGTTTACTCCCGCTCTCATCAGATTTTTGCGCGTTGCTCGCCATCGCTGCCTGACAAAGAGCACGGGGGGTTTTGCTGAGCCGTCACCTCGTGCGGCTGGGGGGGATATTTGTGCAAAATCGTGTAAAACCTGCAGCGCTCACCTCTGCGAAGGAGCTCTCCTCCCCGCCGAGGGGCAGCGCCTCAGGGCGCCCTGAGGGGCTGGAGGCGGCGGGGGCAGGTCCGGGGGTGTCCCGGCACAGCCTGGGGTGCCTGGAATCCATAGCCAAGGGGATTTAAACCTTTCCCGGTCCCCTCCTGCCCAGGGGGACCACGGGGACCCTCAGACCGGCGCCTTCCCCTCCGGCTCTGGGCGGGCCCTGGGCAGGGAATGGCCGTGAGGGGCCGTCCGTGAGGGCACGGGGGTCGAGGGACGGGGGACGGGGACAAGGGATGGGGACAAGGGATGGGGACAGGGGATGGGGACAGGGGATGGGGACAAGGACAGGGGACAAGGGATGGGGACAGGGGATGGGGACAAGGACAGGGGACAAGGGATGGGGACAGGGGATGGGGACAAGGACTGGGGACAAGGGATGGGGACAGAGGATGGGGACAAGGACAGGGGACAAGGGACGGGGACGGGGGATGCCCCGCTCCCCTCAGGGCTGGCAGCACCCCCAGAGCTCCTGCCCAGGCTCCGGAGCGGCTCCTGCCTCAGCCGTCCCCATCCCTGCCGAATTAAAAGATTATTCTACCTGCAGTCACTCAAACATCGAGCTGTCCCCCCAGATAACGTGTTTCGTGTCTCCTCTAACCCGGTCCCAAGTCCCTGCAGCCCCTGAAACGCCGGACGGATCATCCGCCGCTGGATCCGCCTCAAAACTCGAGCCACTGATCAGTAAAACCTGAGACAGCAGTCACTAAAATGAGCAACTCCGCCAAAAATGCACAACTGCCGAGACCAGCTCTTCTTCAAAGGGTTTCTCTGCAGTGAAAGAAATTATTTAACGATTTGAAGTCATGTTGAAGTAAATTTTGCCTCTGGGTTGTTTTGCTGTCTTTCTGTGTTGTTTTTTTTTGTTTTGTTTTTTGTTTTTTTGTTTGTTTGTGTTTTTTTTGGGTTTTTTTGGTTTTTTTTTTTTAATATCTCTAATTTCTTTTTTTAAGAAAGAAAGGATCTTAATCTCACATATGTTATCTGATTAGGCTCTGAAATTAAGATCTCGGTACAAGAAATTAAACTGCTGAAGGAACGAGAACTAAATACTTCCCCAAAGTAGAAACAATATTCAATATGCTGACACAGCCCAATTCACTTATTCTTAAACATTTTATAGATATTTATGTTATTAGCGATACTATCTAAACATTATGAAATAGATATGATAGATTGGGCTTTGAATTTGGCCTTAAGGTGTTTATTTAACTGGGTTATAATTAGTAGGTTAAGATATTTTTATTAACAGACCATGTGAATTAGAAGAAATAAAACATCTGAATTTTCTTTACCGCTTTCAGTACGTTATGGATGTGATAGTCTGTGGAGAAACCTCAGTCTAAATATAAAATAAATTAAAAAATTATCTAAGGTGTGAGAGTTAACTCTTACTGGAGTTCCACATCCTTCAAGATTGGAGAAAAATCATAGAAGTGATTACTCTAAAAATAGTTCCAGTTCCCTTATTATTGGAGATATTAAATGCCAGGAGAAATGAAAGCTTAAATCTTATCACAGAAGCCATTGTTTGAGTTAGAGTCTGGTCCTTAATAAATGCAAATATTTACAGAGGAAGAGAAGGGAACGCCTTTTATTCAGTGTGCTAAATGACCTTATTGATTTTTAGGCTCTCAAAGGCTGACAAAAAAGACCAAATCCTCCTTCCTGATAGTTTAGTATGTAATATCAATAGACCAAAAATATTAGTGCCAGCAGTTAGTACAAAGTAAATAATATTGGCTGACTGGCATTGGTTTTGCCAAGTATAATATTATTTAATGTTTCATTAGCTATCTGAACGTGTATTTAAACTTAATGAGAAAAAAATGGCTAAATGGTAAATTATTGATACAGCATCTTTTTTTTTCTATTCTTTTGCAGTGAAATGAAAAGTATCTGGGAATAAGAATCACCCAAATGGGGAACTGCCCTGAATAAAGCTCTGGTGCCCAAATTTTCAAAAAATATTAAAAATCAATTGGAGTGAATAAAAGAGATGTGAATATTACTTTGAAGCAGAAAAAAATTATTCAGAGGAAGAAACTTAAAAGGGCTGAACTGTTTATTTTAATTGAAAGAGACCAAGAGGCATTTTGATCCTACTTGCAGAAAGGAACTATTTGTTACGAAATGTCTATCGGGAAAAAGTACAGAAATGGGTGACCAGAAAGAGAAGTCAGTTAAATTTAGAAAGATATATATTTTTTTTTTCTCCTGTTAGAACCAACCATTCAAACAACACACCAAGGGGTATAGTGGAATTACAGCTGCTGTATATAGAAATCAGCTAATTGAGATCCAAATTAAATTTGGATCTCCCTGGGATGCAGATTTAGGTAAACACAACTGTAACAAAACAGGAGCCTGACATGGAATGATACAACTTTGATGTCCTGCTGGAATTCAGTGAGTGTCTGTAAATAGGGATATATATTTATTATTTGAAACAGCAGTTACCAAAAATGTATTTTTCCTTGTTTGTCTCTGGCAAACAGGAGGTTTTACTCCGTTGGAATTAATAAATCCTTTGGAATTAATGTCATCAGTTTCTCGGAACAAGTTTAAAGAAAGCACGTCAGTTCTGCAGCTGGTTTTTCTTCCAGCATGTCAGTGACGTGCTGGAGGGTAAACCCATTCAAACCCACAGTTATTAGTAAAACAGCATTTTAATCTTTATGGTTATCATTTCAGATGAGATTGGAAGCGTGCCTTTGACCTCAGAATTACCTGCCTATTTTTATCAGATGGATATTAAAGCATTCCTACCTTTTTTTTCCCCCTCTCCAAGGGCAGTAACAGGCACGTGGGAAGGTGAGGGAGTGTCTTGGGGTCTTAGCTACATAAGTAGCTCCAAGGGAGGAATTTAGGCGCCTCTTCTGGGATAATCTCTCGTTTCCTTCCATCACTTGCTGCCTTTCGGGGTTTTGTGTGTTTTTTTTTTCATCCCTACAAGTTCAGCCTCTCCCATTTCCCCATGGAGCTGCACAGCCGAACGCCCTCCTGCCTGGCTAATGATCATCATTACAAACAGAAAAATCGAGGCACGGGGATTTCCACCAGCGCCACCAAGTTCTACAAACTTAAACCCCCAAAAAAACATCGGTTAATTGCTCACTCCCAAAGCTGCGGTTCCTGCTTTTTTAGGGCCTTAATTACCCCATCAGCACACGGTGGTGGGCACTGCAGCTACAGCAGCGTTTGTTGCTCCAGAGCCCCCAGGGGCAGCACGGAAGGGGGGACAGGGAGGGGTTATCCCTAAACAGGCGCCCGGACTCCCGCCCTGGAGCTGGTTGTGTTGGAAGGGATGCGAGGCGAGGTGCCCGCGGTGCCGATGTTATCCACAGCCACCACACGCAATCTTTCCAATCCCAAACCGGTTTCCGGGCAGCGTGCGGGGAAGGGGAAGCCGGGGATGGGGAAGCGGGGATGGGGACGGGCGGTACCTGTTTTCCAAACCTCACGGACCGGCTGCTGCGGGGCCAGGCAGGGCTGACTGACATCACGGGAGCGCATCCAGCCTTCCCCACCACCCACATTTGCATATGTGCCGCGTCTCCGGCGAGGGGAAATGCCGCGCCACAAACGCAGACGTCGGCAGATATCCTGGGAACGCGCCCCGATCTCCTCTGCCGCAGAGCTGCTTTAAGATTCTCCCCGCCCGGCCCCGCCGCTCGGCCACCGCTTCCCCGCGGCTCGGGCATCCCCCGCGGCTCGGGCATCCCCCGCGGATGGTCTCGGGAGAGCCCCGGCCCCAGTCCCGACCCCGATCCCGGCTGCGGGAGCGGGTCCCGGCGCTCCCCGCCCTCCGCCCGTCTGTCCGGCTCCCAGCATTCGCCTGCAGCTCGCCGAGGAGACTGCAAGGATCACCGCGGGCTCTGCTCCCAACATTCGCCTGCAGCTCGCCGAGGAGACTGCAAGAACCACCGCGGGCTCTGCTGCCACCCACTTCGAGCTTCTCCCGCCCCGCAATCCCGCTTTTCCACAGGGTGAGTCATTCCACGCCACCTCGAACAGTCACCTAAAAACTTTCAGCCTTTCAAGCCTGCTCTTTTTACTGCGTCACGGTTGGACTTGATGATGCTGGAGGTCTTTTCCAGCCTTAATGATTCTGTGATTCCGATTCAGTGATCAAGGGAAGAAGCGCAGCCACTTTACGCGTTTTACCCATTAAACCAAGGGCCTCAGATCAGTAAGTCCTGCCTACCCCTTCCCCTCCGCTCCAGAGTAACAGCGCAGTCCTTGGCTTGGTGGTTATTTTGCTGTGGATGAGGCTTGCAGGGGTTGGTGTTGGGGTGTCTCGTTTCTAAGGCAGGGGGTGCATGTTTGCAAACAAAGATGCAGCGAACCTGGGTGTCTCTTCTGCACAAACTATAGACCATTAGGGTTTTTTATAAGGAGGATAAGAAAAAAATCACTCTCAAATACGTACTTAAAAGTGCTTTACTGAAGGGACAAGGAAATTCCCCAGTCCCTGTGGCTGATGGGTGTGTGCAAGTTGATATTGCTCAGCTTCTTTGTATAGAAGATCTTTCTGGAGTGATGAAAAAGCTTTGGAAGGACGCCGGATATTCTGATTGCACAATGAAACGCCAGTGCAAGAGCCGGATCTTCCTACTGTTCTCCTGGTTTTAATGCATTTATTTAGTGCAAGGGATATGAATAAAGCTAAAACCGATGCTGAGGAATGTGTCTGGTGCAGGGAGGTTTGCAAGCAGCAGGTTGGGGTGCAGGTTGAAGTGGAGGCTGAGCTCTGGGTGGGAGCCCAGGACAAGAGGCTGTGAATTGCCACACCTTTGGCTGACAAAGGGCTTGAAGAAGGCGAGAACAGCCAGGGATGGTCCCAGCAGTGAACGTCTCTGGCCTCGGGAATGTGGCTGCCAGGGAATCTCCTGAATGGTCAGACTGAGTCACTTCGTTAACACCAATTATTCTTCCAGAATCCCTGGTTGTATGTTGGCATTAGAGGCAGAGTGCAGCCCTGGATCAGTTCTAATTACCCCTGAAGTGTTTAAGAAGGGCTGGAACCTCTCAGGTGCAGAACTTGACTGGTCTTCAATGATTAGTTCAGGGTTTGTTGGATTTTGTTTGGGGTTTTTTTGTAATAAAGTGATTGTTGTTATTCCTAAGGGAAATATATCCTTTCTTCTTCCCTCTCCTCTGTGTCACTCTTGAAAGAGAATAGCTGTGAAATCAAGATCAGAATTCAAGTTGAGATAAAACACCATAAGCAAATCAATGTTACTGCAAAATAAATTCCATCCAAACTTCCCGAAGAACCTCCACAATTCCAACTCCAGGTGCCAAAGACACAGCCCTTTGTGGGGGCAGTCAGAGGGGGAACTAAGTTTTGGGTATTTTGGCAGTTCGGTCTTTCCTAGGGGAAGTCTGTGTGGATTTAGGTTTATAAAGAAGCATTGTGCTTAACTCTGAACCCTCTCCCTGCACCTCTGGCAGGGTGAAGATGAGTGCTGATGAGATCCTGGTGCGTGCAGCAAAACTTGGAAAAAACCTCTGCCTCTATTTTATTGGTAATTATTATCTGGGAAGCATTGAATAACTTTTCCTGCTTGAATACTGATTTAATGCAAGTAATTTGTTGGTCTGATTTCAGCTAATTTTGCCATAAGCTTCAGTTTTAAGTGTTGTAAAGGACACTCAGAAAGTTGGAATACTGTGGGGTGGGCTTGGAGTAAGGGAATAAATTCCAGTCTTATAAAGTCAGTCAGAAAACAGTTTCTTCTTTATAAGCAATTAGATCCTTGTCCGTTTGCTCACTCAGAATGAAGGTTCTGATTAAAACAAAAATCCTCATGCAATTATTCCTCAGTTACAGGCTTAAACAGACCTGTTCACCCTTAAATAACCCTAAACCATTTTGCATACCTCTGGTTTGGTGGTAGCTGCAGTTCTCAAATGACTGATGTTTTCATCATCACCATGAATTTGTCTGGCTCACAAATAAAAACACTCTCTGCAGTGACACCAGCTCAGCCTGGGGAGTGCAACTGGGAACATGTAGGTGGCTGCCTGGCTCTCAGCCTTGCCTGGGTGGAAAGTGGTTTCTTTTGTGGGGGCAGAGATTAATCTTGTTTTTCCTGTCCTTTTTTTTCTTTTCTCGTCGCTCACTGGGGACCAAGACGACGATGGTAAGCTGAGAGCTCATCATTTGTAACTTCACCACCAGCTTTACATGAACTAACGTGCTGGTGTTTTACTAACCCACAGATGCTCTGTGTGTGCCTTAGAGGACAAGTTTCAAACTTGGCTACTGCAAGAAAAAGAGAGCTACAGCTGCCCTGCTCCTTCTTGGAGCTCGTGTTGCTTTAATTCCTCCTGGGGTACAGGGCAGTGCCCTCCCTGACAGCACCTTTTCATGCCATTCTAATTGCTGGGCAAGAGACAGAACTGTTGCATCTGAATTCTCACCAACAGGCACAGCAGCTTCTCTTGCTCAGATATAGATATTGCTGTATTCTGGGAAATCCTGGGTTGCCACAAGCCAGAGGTGGAAAGAATGACACGGCCTTCTTTTGTTTGAGGTTGTCATTCTAAGAACTCATGACACGTGATGTCCTTAACAACAAGAACAAATTCACAGGGGGCTGTCAGAGCTGAGGGGACTACAGCTGAAATATGAAGAAATCTTCCTTGTTATCTCCACAGAGCTGGAATGTGATGCCTTCTGCAAGGAAAAGGCTCTGCACAGAGTCCTTCGGAACGTGAACAGCCAGTTGCTGGTGGTTCGCCCAGATCTCAACCTGGCAGCCTTTGAGGATGTGACAGACCAGGAGATGCAATCTGGTACCTGTGCCCACTGCACTGCTCCTTTACTCTGCAGGGGGTTTGTTCTCTCCAGCACTGACTCTAAAAGATGAGGCTGAGAGTAAGGACTTAAACTTCGTTTGTAAGAATGAAGATGAGCCAAGAGAGCTGAAATTTTGTGTCTTGTGCATTGGGGAAGGATGAGGTTCCTGGATTAGGCCGAGCCTGCAGTGTGTCACAAACAGAAAAAGGACTGTTAAGAGCTTTGGTTAGCTCTGATCACAGAATTACTACTTTTTATGTTGGATTACAGAAAGTAATTTTAAAATTTAAACAATGTATTAGCACTAAAAGTTCTTACTTTCTTGTAACAGTAGTAGTTAACAATATACTTACAGTTTTGGCTTTGATTTTTTTTTGGGTGTTTCAGCAGTTTATTCAGACCTGTATTTGTTGCACATATTTATTTATGAGTCCCAAGTCCTG